CTGAGTACAAATAATAGGAATGAGTAAGTTGTGTCTATATGATAGCAATCTTTTAGCTTCATAGCTGGAGGTATCTTCAAACGATCTCATTCAGTGTAAGAGTAGAGAACTCTTGTGGAATTGTACAAGCTGAACAATGATGATATCAATAAGCGAGTTATTTACAGCACTTATATACCCTACTAGGCCTTTAAATCTAGATTAAAGATCAAAAGTAAGTGTTTTTCTTCAGTTACTTTAAATTCTGACCTTCATAAAACTGATTTGATAGTGGCTAACAATGGAATTATAGGCATACGTTTCATCCTACTTAGGACTCGTCAGCTAGATGTATCTGCACTCTAGTAAATGATAACATTACCAACTGTCACTTTAAACGTCAGAGTGTTAACCAATAAGTCATCGCTAGACAATACCATTTCAGATATGATGAATTATCAGGTAATATTAAGGCATCCAAACAGGCGCTTAAACACCAATAGATGTCAATCGTTTCAATTCACTACAATTAACGAATTCAACTTCAAGTCATTTTGATTAAGAATAACTTCTAGAAGTAAAGATTAAATTGTCGTATTCTATCAATGGCCTTTTATTTCATGATCAGAATTTACTTATATAGTTGTCTTTTAATATTTATAAAAGATGAAATATATTCACTAACATAACCTAATAAAAATGACATAAGGTCAGTGGAAAAGATTAATAAACCAATATAGAGGAAAATGTAGATATTGATACAAACTAGAGTATTCTTTTCGATTCTAAAATGTTTTCATTAAATGATAGTCAGAGTAGGTCACATAAACGGATTTTACGTAAATAACAGATTCTGTAAGAGAAGAAAGGCTGATGGACTAACATTATCACTTCAACAAACATTGAAAATCTGGTAATAGTAGTACTGGACAGTTGTTTCGTCCCAGTATATGACTCCTCAGCAGTCCATCCCAATGACCCCATTATGTACTAAAACCCAAGATCCCTAGATTCTGCAGGTATCACGTTACCAATGAACCACTTAGTCAGTATTCAGTAATCTACATTTCTTTCATGATATAGTGAGACCTCTATCCAATTACGTCGTTAAGCAACTGTCCTCATATCCAATTTTATTTGTCTTATTGGCTATGATATCTCATTAGAACTACAGGAATATCATCTTGAAGTGTATTACTAATAAGTACAAATGTAATTTAATTTTGGAGATATTATAAGGATGTTATTTATTGATTTTTCTGTATAGTTTTACTTTCCTATAATGAAATGATTTATCAGAGTCAGTGTCACAACCAAGTTATTTTAATTCAATAACCTGGAAGTCGATATCCTTGACTAAATTACTAAATACATCATTTTCATTGGTCATTGTCTTTACCTACTTTAATATTTCTTCAAGAAAACTGATTAGTAATTATTGCAGACTTACTTTATATTTATTGTTGCATAATATGACTAGTTTCTAATTAGTTGCAGTGTTCATTGGTATATTTCATTAGTTAATGATATTTTTATATGGTTTTAGTGAAATAGTTTCTAAAAGAAACTTTGTTTACATTATATTTGAGGAGTTACAAAGCTATCAGAAGTGTTATCATGGACTAAATAACTTATGAAGAATTGGTACATTCAGCGGATGACTTTGTAAACAAGATGGAATACATATCATTGATTTCATTCTTAGCCATCATGTAGATTACTTACCGTTTTCTTTTTAAGCTAAGGTGCTTAGCATTGAAGACGTTCTCTAAGCGGTTCACGTAATTATTAGCAGTGACCATCAAGAAACATCAGCAGCTTTATGAAGTCTATATATTCTCAGTAACTTACAGTATTGTCAATCAAATAGACTACTGTTCTACTTGTGGTTAGCAGTGAAAGACCTACATAGTACAGAAATAGTCATATATCTAAGAAGTACAATATTTCGTGATCTATGATTACAAACGTGTGTGATATGTATCATGTTTTAGTCTGCTTATGTAGAGGTTTAAACTGTCAACTATAAAATATGATAGAGGAAAGGAAATTTAAAGGCCAAGGAAGGAAATGGCTAAAGAATGTGCTTTATCAATAAGGGAATATACTTTGCGGTCAGTAAGGATTTCCTCATGGACTGACATCAATACTCATTACTACCTCAAAATTAAAATCCCCTTCAACCTCGAAAAACATTACTGTATAGTGTTAATTAGTAGAATGCTTCTAGACCAATTTCCCGAAGTTTTAGTGAGAAGCCGTGACTTGTTTGATCAACTAGTCGAAAGGGAAGTGAACGAAAGCTGAATAAATTGAGTTATAGTCACGCACCATCGCAAGCTAATAGAAGTTTAAAAATGTGAATAACAGAATAGTCAACATGTTTGCCGTAAAACCTGAAGGTCATAAGTCCGATCCCTCACTGGGAGGTAGGTGGGTACTGCAGAAGAGTCTCATACTAAGGCGAAACAGCTGTACAATGCTTCAAAGTTTTTAGTGTCTCCTTAACTGATGTTAGTCCATGATGAATAATATCTCAATAACAGAATAATCAACGGAAATAACCAACTACACGTCAGTTTGTCAGAACAATCATGTACATCACTATAGAAGAAATCTGTATAGCCTAGTAAATAAAGCCGTTAGTGTTGATTATGAAGTCTGAAAAGATTTGGGATCATTAGGATAATGTCATTTGTGCATGAGAAAGTATGATCGGTAAAACCTGAGAGCATCTGACTGTATACCATGAGAACTATGGTAGATTATATAACAGATAGAAGTATATGATGGTTGAAATGTATCAATTTCAAGACATAATAGTCATCGTTAAATTATTCTCACATAAACACTCAGTTTTAGTACTTAATATACTACTAGTCATATGGCAACTTCAGTTATATTCTTCAAGGGAGCAAACATGAACTATGCAATCGCGTTGTCGGAAATGAAGCAAATGTAAAATAAAGATCGTAGTAAACAGTAACACTATATGGTGAATTCAAAGAAGTATCTAGGCAACAAAACACTGAATCCATAACAAGCAGATATATGGTTAACACTAACACTACATGACACCAACGTCCGAAGTTAAGATAATACCAAAGAAGGGCGTATATAATATTGAAGAGTTCAACACTATATGGCAAACGATAATCAATGATACCATATATCCAATGGTTCCACAACTCATGTCACCTCATCATGAATACTACGTCAATAGACCAATTTTCATTGGAAAGAGAAAACGACCAGTACTTAGGACAATGAGTAATAAAAATGCTTCAGCTATAAACAATCAAACGTTTGTGACATGAATCCTAACAAGAGTAGCTTCGTCCCACTCACACACAACACCTTGGATTGTCATCACTATCATTAGCGAATACACAACTACAAGCTTCGATACACAGATCACAATATCTACTATCATACTGGAAAACATCTAACAACCATAACCTCACCTAAGACAACAATTCACATTCAACATACACATCATATACTACAAAGATTCACCAAAATATTCTTACTCAATAGGCATATATTCTGTATAGACAGCTGGTAGTTTGATCATAGTTCTGCATAACTTCACCTTTGAGATGATAACATACAAGGGAAACCAGTTAACATCATCTCATCATATATCAAGTTTTACATAGATGCATTAGTTTTCTCTTCACCTCTCAGGTAAATTAAGTTAATAAAGTTGAACAAAGTTTGACATCTGGAGGTTGCTGACAGCTTAGTACCATAGCATATTTTAAACACTTATAAACATATTCACATAAGGTTAGTATACACCTCTAAACAATGTTGACAGCTGGTAAAATGTTAGAAATAATAAAAACCTATCCATCTCTCCTTAGACGATATGTTCATCTGCTGACAATTTACCTAACATCATACAAGTTTCTTCATAAAATAGCTTTATACGTCAATTTAGTAAAAGTGAATAACAAAATATAAATGTACGCCCTTATTCGTTAAACAAAATTGAAAGAATAGGGAACAGGTTAAAACTAGAAACAATCACCTAATCTATTTTTCTTTATTGAGTTACAATGTCCTCTTCATTCAAGAAAGAAATTTGTCTTGATGAAGGAGTAGGTCATCTAAAAATTGATAGAATGATACAAATTTAAATTCATAAAGCCTAAAATTATTCACTGAAAAGTGAAGACTTCAGTTTCTAATAAGATGTGTATGGTAAGTTACATTTATGAAGTGTTACTCATCTCTCATTGGTTGGTTGAAACTAGGATATCATCATGTTTTGCTGCATGAAAAATGATTTGATTGATGGATTACAGTGAGTAGTGACATTCAAGATGTGTGGTTCATTCATCTTGATGTTGTTTAGGTGGATGAACTTTGTTCCCAATAGATGATGTTCTTGATTGGACTACAAGGTATATTTCATCACTTTCGATTTTAAGTATCAGCCACCAAGTTGATGAGTTTTGGTATTCACTTTTAATGGTAGACAGAATCAATCTTCAACCAGGGTATGGAAACCGTGACCAATGAATATTATTCACTAGGACATCTATGTATACGGTTTCTTTCTCTGCATTAGGTTGGTTTGACATCCAATTTTTAAATATTGCCTGACATAAACAATCTTAGTAACAATGGATAAATGATTCCTCGATTTTACTCACATCGAGGATGGGTTTTTTGAAGTAACATATACTATAATAATATATTAACAAGGAAAATAAAGTAGTGTAATATAAACCATTGGATTCTGACCCAGTGGCTCAATGGTAACGTGCTGGTCACGGAACATGAAGGTCACGGGTTCGACCCCCGGGCGGGGTCGTGGGTATGCACTGCTGAGGAGTCCCATACTTGGACGAAACAGCTTCCCAGTGCTCCTAGGTTTCTTTTGTTTCTCCAAATGATGTCAGTCTACGATGAATAACAACTTGAAGTTAGTAATTCTCTTAGGAAAATCCTAGACATTGATAAATTTTAAATTCCTGGTAAATGAGTTCCAGTTAACTGATAAAATGGCTTACCATCTTCTGTCAGACTCCGAGTAGTACTTGTCACCGTATCAGCTGGAACTTGATTTGTTTTAGAGTTATTCGATTGTTGTGATTGATCTGAATCGAATGACCGGGTTTCATTCTGTTGAAAACAAGGAAATGGAATATAACAGTGTTAACTTTTAGGAATAATTTTATATCCAAATAATTCAAATTTCTCTTGTTTAGCCTCGAGAATCAGTGTTACTGTTTTCTTTGTACAGTCATTAGCATATAAGTGAGATTGATATTTGATGAATGATGGTGATGGATAATCAGTCTGATGACTAAATACATTTAGTAAAACAAACAATGTGAGCGAAGAAATATTTCTTTTCAATTAGTTCCTCATCAATGGCTCTACACTAATATAGCATTTTCAAACGTAAAATTACATACCAATCTAGTGGTGAGAGTTGTTCAGTGAAAGGTTATCAATCTCAAAGTTTCAAGAAGGTGATAATTGGTCAGGTAATTAAGACAGTTAACTAAAGCAAAGATTAATTATCGTAGAAAGATTTTGCGAACAGGTTCTTACATAATTGATATTTTATATAATGATAACTAAAGAGCAAAAATGAACTGTTACGTAAAATGGTAAATTGTTGACGGTAATTAGAGACAGTAGGGGGAGAGAAAGATGATTAAGTCTGTAATAATAATATAATATAATAATAATAATAATAATAATAATAATAATATAATATAATAATAATAATGGAGCTATTGAAATATTAGTTATAGTGAATTGTGTGGTGGATGAAATGAAGAGTCTTGTTGTAATAAATGAGCTATACAGATGGCCAAGGCAAAGAAAGAGGCTGTACGAATCTCTTCTGAACACACAGACTTGGCTTGTGTAGGTGGATTCCTATGGCTTCTGCTGTATGTAAAAGACGGACTCGTAGAGGATGGGTGAGGTGAGAAGGAATGTGATAAATAACTTTAAAGGCATTATGAATGTTAACTCGGTGGCCGGTGTCAATCAGATGAGAGAGTATTGAGCTTCGTGTCAGTCTGGTTTCCCCCTTACTTAGCCATGAAGGATGATGCTCGGCGATTCGACGACGGACTTGCCTAACTGTACGTCCAATGTAACTAGCTCCACAGGAGCAGTTGAACTGGTAAATGCACATAGAAGAGGAGAAGTCAGGGAGTCTGTCTTTAGTTCGTGTGGTCATCATCGGCCGGCTGTAGAAAACACAACATAACTTGGCGGCATTAAATGATCTTCTTATGGCATTTCTTAAGCGTTGTGTCACAATTTCGCTGATGATGTCACCTCGAAATTGTAGTCTTAGAAACAATGGTTTCTTGGAGACTGTAGGCATTCTGGTTTTCATATTGGATGTGTTCATATTTTTAGCCAGGAACGTTTCTGGATATCCATTACTACTGAGTAGATCGTGGATAATTTGAAGCTCTTCGTCAAAACTATCATCTGAACAGATGAGTCTCGCCCGATGGACCAAACATTTAACGAGATTTCGTTTATATTGCAAGGGGACGAAACTCAAGAAGTGGGTGTATTGACCTGTTGACGTTGGTTTCCGATACACACTTCTTTTTATAGTTCCATCCACCTTCCTTGTCAATCGGACATCTAAGAAGGTGATGCTGTCGTCACTTTCTGTTTCAATAGTGAAGGTTATTGCTGGATGGACGCCATTGAATTCATCCAGTATGATCCTTGCATCGTCCTCATTATTCACAATCAAGAATGTATCATCTACATAACGGCAATAAAATTCTAACCCGCTTATGATGCTTTCCAGAGGGCCATTTTCTAATTTTGCTAAGAAGAAGTCCGCTAAGATTGGGCCTAGTGGTGACCCCATAGCGACACCGTCTGACTGTCTATAGAATTCCTTATTGAAGAGAAAGTGTACATTCATTGTACATCGTAAGAGAAGCTCTTTCAAGGTGGATGCCGTAATTCCAATTTCTATGTTTCTCTTTTCTAGTTCGGTTATAGAAAAATTAAAAAGCAGGCAACATTGAGGCATCCATGCAGCAGCTCGTATGCCAATAGAGACTGATCAATTCGGTCCAATCAACGACAAGATAATTTGAGTAATAACATTAAGAAATATTTGTACACCCACAGACCTCAGTGTTTTTCCTTTGATAAGTATCTTTTGTCTTAATAAACAAAGTGTACGCAATAACATAAGTCGATTCTAATACAAGCCAGTCTATCACAAAAGTAAAAATTCATTTTATTTCACCCTACAATTTTATGAAATTCTGCCTTAAATGGTAGAATATATCTGTGATAAAAAGTGGAGATTTTAACCTGCTTTATGTATTCATAGAAATGAAGGATCTTGGATAATTTCAGTTTACATGGATGATGAAAAGTGATGAATCAACTTTCAGAAACTTTCTGTGTTTCTACGTCAATTCTTGTAAGGATAAAGGAGAAGCTAATCAGCACTTTACTCTTCATTATCACGGTTTACATCAAAAAGTCTCGGTGAAGTAGACTCATTCGATTCATTTCGGTGTACCGCTATTGATTTCAACTTCAAACATATTGTAGTAAGAAAATCTTAAGAATGCCATCCTTTGTGCTATTCGTTCGAAAATTTCATTTAATACCGTACTGATTATGATAGTTTGGTTTTCTCTGAGCTTCCCTAACATTGACTCCATAAATGAGTGACAAAAAATTCTATTTTATAAAGGTAGTGATGAAAATTTGATCAAGCTTGGAGATGAAATGTCTACGACAAAACTTTGAGCTCAACGAACACAAAACCACCATCAATTTCATTACAAGCTATAAAACTTCTCCATCAATTCAAATATTCATCATACTAAGGTGGAAAACATGGTATCACTACTATTATTTATTGATACATGTAATTTCCGGTTGTTATTATAGCAAAATAATTGGCTCTCAAGCTTCAGTGGCCTAGGGATTGGTGTAAGGTACGAGGCTCAGTGGTATTAATAGTCACTGAAGTAAGTGTACATCCAGCTGAAGAGTTCCAAGTAAGATAAGATGCGTGTTATGGATTCCATCGCAAGTCACTAAGATGAATACAATATCATGAATATCTGGTAGTATTGAGACACCCGTATAAAAGGCAATCTGCCAACAGAGGTCAAGCAATTTGACCTTGTAAAACATCAGGAAAATATAAGTATCAGACAAAAACAAAGGGTACTTTTTGCACAAGTGGTGGCTTCCTTATCCCAGTGGCCTGGTGGAATTTCAAGTGGTGGGTACTAAGTCTGAGGTGGAAGCATTTCTAACTGATAAGATCCAAAGAGGAGGGAAAGTACCTCCTGGGTTCCACTGCAAGTCATCAAGATGAATACAACAAGTGCTTATTCAGTTCACAAGTTCCAACTCCACGTATCTTAGATTCTAGTAGGAAATAAGTAACCGATTCAACGACAGAAAGACAAACTTACTCTTATGGAGAAACTAATGATGCTAGTCAGTCAGATTATATTTATGTTGAGGTATTGTTGACGGAAAATAAAATCTCTTCTTTCTTGACTGACTATCAGTGTTTGTACTCAAATATAGATTGGAATAATTAAATTTTCGTCTAATGGATAAAAAGTATTGCATAACATAATGGAATAGTATTATTTACTGGATTACCTTTCGGACACAGTCATATGAAAAGAGATCCACATCTGTGAGGCAGTCTTTATATAATTCTAGATTTCTCGCCTCCTTTATGTCACGAGTAGTAGGATTTTCCACATATCCGGAACTTCTGGTGAGTCATACCGGTTGATTATTAGTTGTTGATTCGATAAACAAAGACTTGGTTATCGATCTCTGTCTTCAATCCGCAGTTGTTCTTAATCATAAGTTTAGCCATAGCCTATATTTTTCTAGATCCCATATCTTACCAGGATCGACGCATTTTAATCTAGCTACATTTTCGTGTTACGTTATTCTAGTTGATCCCAGTCAACTTCTTCGATCTTTGTCATTGATCTCACAAGGGCTACAAATTATTCTACTTAGTTGGACTAATAGAATCTTCTAACATACAAAGCTTGTTCGTAACTGAGCCAATTGGTTTAAATGCCACTGTGATCCTAGTCAACCGTATTGAATATCCTACATAATGTCTCTCATGTGCCTTCTTTGTATGATGATACTGTCAACGTTTCGAATCATCTTTTCTCACAGCATTGCCAATATTATTATCCCCATTACTGTTACTACTCTGAACACCAGTGTTACTAATATGATTCATATTTTTCTCGTGATTCGTAAGGCAGTGATTGGTTAACTAAGGAGGATAGTTGTTGGTGTATGAGGTGTTCTTAATATATCTGGTTTGATTTCTTGTCTTGGATCTTCTCTTCTACTATTAAACTTCTTTGCCATGTTTCTTAGACATTTAAGGGGGCCAATTTTAACACACCTTGGGTGAAATGATTGAAATTGAATCATTTCCTAGACTAGCACCTCCATCGGATATATGGAAAATCCTACTTCGTATATCACAAAGGAGGCGAGGAAATCAGAACTATATAAAGAATATCTTAAAGTGGTGCTATTATCATGATGTAACTATCGACAACAACTTCTGTCTGAAATGTAATCCAGTGAATGAAACTGTTCCTTCACTGTGTGATACATGTAACAAATTAACTCAAATGGAATTACATTCTACCACACTGCTCAAGTTATAACTCGGAAACCTCATATACTAAGTTTTTAACAAAGTCACCCTTTTCAGTAAGCTGTCCAACGTCTTTCTTTCTAACTTCCGTTGATGCTCTCTCTCTCAAGTGATCCATAACACCTGATCAGCTACAACTACAATTTCTTTGTATCCTTTAGAGATTATCGTTGCAACTATCCTGTATTTTATGGATTCAATACATGATTTCTCTTAACATCTCCCAATAGAACTCTTTTGTGTAAATCATATTCAAGAAAACACTAAGCGTATTATTGAGGAAATGTGCGTTATAATAAGTTACCTCCCTCCGCCCCATTTTCAATAATCAAGTTCTCGCACCAATATGACAATGTTTTGCTTATCATACCGTTTCTGCTAATTCGCACATAGAAAAACACCACTTGAACATTGAGTAATACAAACAATCGTTTGAATTATT